AAAAAAAAAAAAAAATCCTAATGGATTTGGGAAAGGGCAGGTCGAATTTGTTGTATGTGGTTAAGATGGTCCATTGGGCCTAGTTAAGTTGGTATTACTAAAATGGGCCAGCCCAAATCAAAAGAGAGAAACCTCAATCACTTGTAGAGAAATTTGAGTTCGTTTGCTAGGCTCACCCTTATTTTCATAAAAGTAATTGTAATTATAAATATAATTAAGAAAAAAAATCATTGATTATTGATTTGATAATAGTTATTTTTTTCTAGTTCAAAGTGGAGGCAAATGTTTTAACTTCGTCGCTCGGGAGAGAGATTATTAATGTCTCAATCAATTATATTCAATGATATACTTAAAATGAAATATATTAGTGATATACTTGATATATCAATAAGAAACCTACAATGTTACTTAAGTGAAGATTTATTAGTGATACACATGATATGATGTATATTATTTATATATTTAGTGTGACTGATCTACCTCATATTAAGTATATCAATTACGTTGGTGATATATTTTATATACAATTATTTAAATTGATATACTAAGTATATATCAATAACGAGAACAAAGTTAGAATAACAAAGAAAACAAAAATCTAATTTAAAAACTGTTATTATATTTGAAAAACCAAAAAATTATTGTCAGGTTTCAAATATGCTAAATATTTTTGCTACTCATTAAACATACCTTTTAAAATGATATTACAAATGGCAGGAATGAAAGTTCGAATTTCCTATCTCACAGAGTAGTTAGCAATATATATTTTAATTTATATGTTCAAGTTGGGGACCTCTCTAATAATTTAAATGCATATCACTCATTTAATTTAATTTGAAGCTTTGTATCTATTTTTAATTTTGATGTTCTAATTTAAGGTTTGTTCTTTTTGTTATGTTCAAGTTTTAAAACTTTCAACTTTCAATAAACTCCAAAATTTATCCCTATGGTAAAAGTGATAAATAGATATCATAACTATGCATAATGATTCTTAAAAAGATATATATGCATAATGGATTTTGTAATATTTTGAAATAGGAAGACTC